AGGAGTTAAATGGAGAGGACTGTTTCCTGTATATGCCACCCCTGCTGCCCCTTCTGTCCAGGTGTAAAACAGAATGTGATATGGAGATCACACGGGCCCCCTGGAGTATGGGGTATGGTCGCCATTGTGACCCATGATGCCACACTACTGGTTAGGGGGTGGTAAAAACTTCCCAACTCCCAAACTGCAAACATAAGCAAGCCTTTACTGTCCTGAGCCCCCTTTAGGGCTGCTGGTTTGCTGTGGTTTATTGCACATGCAGCTGTCTTGTTGAATAGTTGTGCTTAGCCATAGACTTCTATTATATCTTGTGGATCACTTTCAGAAAGTGCACCACAACTCCTGCATTCAGTTTGAGGTCGAGGGCCACATCAGAGGGCTCCAAGAGCCACAGGTTGAGCACCCCTGCTTTAACCCTTCATTTAAAACTGCAAAAACAAATGAAGACGTGATTCAGGTTTCATTCAGCAGACAAGTAGGGCTCTCTGAGCGTGGCAAATCCCTCCACTTGGCATTACTTCCTGCATAAAGGGATGCCTGTGATGATGCCTGTGCTCAAATATGTACCAGGAAGAGATATTTCATTTATTATGAGTGATTATTTATAAAGAGCACTACAGTAAGAGGGATTATCAGTGTTGCTTAATGTTCAGATGTTCTGCTGGTGTCACAGTTTTTGAAACTTTTTTGTTTTCTTTGGGTAGTCCAGTACAAGGGTTCTCAACTTTGAGACCAAGGCCCAGTAGATTCTTCTAAAACCTTGTATGCCCCAGCAAAAAAGTCTGTGCATACACAATAAATAAAAGTATAGCAATGGAAAAGCTGGGTGTCACTCTGGATGGAGCTGGGCGTCACTCTGGGAGGAATGGGGGTTCGGAAGAGGGTTAGGTTGCAGCAGACTTGCTGATATTGTGAGGGATATGGATTCTGGAGGGCTCTGGTGGAAACTGAGGTGGATGGGGGTCACTGGAGGAGACTGTGGAATTTGGAGGGGCTTTATGGAAGACTGGAAGTTGCTAAAAGGGCACTGTGGGAGGTTGGAGGGCAATGTGAGACACTGTTGGAGGTTGGGAGCATTACGGGAGGGCTGTAGGTTCTGCAGTAGGCCAATTGGCACTACAGAGGACTGTGGCAGGCTGGGAGAAGGGGGGAGGCACTGAAATCCATTGTGGAAGGTTGGGGGCACTTTGGTAGCTGTCAGGCATTATGGGAGGTTAGGGGATCTGCAGCTGGCTGAAGACTTGGGAGGAGAAAGGCAAAGTCCAGCAGCAGGCCACAGGGAGGTTGAGAGCACTACAGGGGGGCTGTAGGTTCTGCAGTAGGCTGATTGGCACTACAGTGGATTGTGGAAGGCTGGGAGAAAGGTGGGACACTGCAGTCCATCGTGAAAGGTTAAGGGCACTTTGGTAGCTGTCAGGCATTATGGGAGGGTAGGGGATCTGCAGCTGGCTGAAGACCTGGGAGGAGAAAGACCAAAGTCCAGCAGCAGGCCATAGGGAAGTTGGGAGCACTACGGGGGGGGGGGGGCTGTAGGTTCTGCAGTAGGCTGATTGGCACTACAGAGGACTGTGGCAGGCAGGGAGAAAGGGGGGGGGGGGGGGCACTGCAGTCCATTGTGGAGGGTTGAGGGCACTTTGGTAGCTGTCAGGCATTATGGGAGGTTAGGGGATCTGCAGCTGGCTGAAGACCCGGGAGGTGAAAGGCCAAAGTCCAGCAGCAGGCCACAGACCGGTGCTTGAGAACCGCTGATCGTGCAATTTTATCATGTGTTTCTAATGATCCAACACAGCTGTAGTTCCCCTCCGCTACTGAATCACGGCACCGTCCTCACCTTTCCATCATTTCTTCATGTAGCAAAGCATCATCAGTTTTTCATGGTGCTAGGGGAATATTTTGGGGAGTCAGCAGTACTCCATGGAAGGCTGATGTGTAAAAGAGTCCGTAAATATTTTTGCTGATACTAGTCCGGAAGAGCAGATGGCAACCCTTCCGGTGCAAAGTAGGGGTTTTTTTTAACCATTCTACATTTATTTTAGTGTAGCACATTGTGTGTATTTCTGTTGTCGCAGACTAGAATTGCTGACTTTGACCTTTTTATGCATTGTGAATGTTTAGGCTTTTCTTAAGCAGTGGTTGCAGATTTTTTTTTTTTGACCAACCTATTAGTTCATTAACTACAGCTTTGTTCCCATTAAACCTGACCCACCATTGCTCTGGATGTGATTCCCAAAGAGTTTTTTTGTTGGCTTCATTGTGCTACTTTTTGCCTAAAAAAAATGTAAACTTGAAGCATTTGTAGTCATTCACTATATTCAAACCACGCAGTCTTGACTTGGCTATGGAATTTTTCAGCACGTAGTATCAGAATGGCCTTTTATGAGATGTCCACTCTAGTTCTATTTTCTGCAGCACATGCTACCAGTATTAATACATGTCGGCTGGTAAGGGGTTTTCTTGTGGCTTCTTTATGGCATTCCACTAAATGCTGGTAGAGGATTGTTGCTGGAGGTGTCCATGCTGGTGTAAGTACACAGGCTGGCCACTGGAACCTTACCCGTAGAACACCTTTTGGTCCCCCTGGTGTTCATGAAATGGTGGGGCACAGAAACAACGTTCCTTCCCAAGTTCCTTGGTTGAGGATAGAAGTCTTTTGTGTAGGGACCATTGGAAGCTCTGGAATGGGCCTGGTGAATGGGAAGGGTGGTGTGGCTTAATTCCAAGACAGAGCTGACCAGTTGAGACCCTGGGCCTGAATACAAAGAGCAATACAACCCAGAGAAGAATTGTAAGATCAGAACGGTACAAACTTTTACATATTGCTTGATTTGCAGATTAGTAATGGTCTAGTCCAGGGGTCTCCAAACGTTAACAGCAAAAGGGACAATTTACTGACCTTCAGGCTGTAAGGGGTCCTAGTGTGGCCATTGGGAGCACATAATGCCCAGTTGTTTTATTGGAAGGAATGGCAAAAGAAAAGGAAAAGCGAGCAAAATCCTCTCTTGTGTTAAAAGAGGTATAGACTCCAGAGGGAGAGATATCATATTACCCCCCCCCCCCCCCTGGTACAAATCATTAGTAAGACCTCATCTGGAACATGCAGTTCGGTTTTGGGCTCCAATTCACAAACAGAACATTGGGGAACTGGAGAAAGTATAGAGAAGGGCAACAAGACTGATACGAGGCATGGAGGAGATCAGCTATGAGGAAAGATTAGAGGAACTGAATTTATTACCTCTTGAGAGGAGGAGATTAAAGGGGGGACACTTTACGTCTGGAGGAAAAGAAATGCCATCTCCAAACACGGAAAGGTTTCTTCACAGTGAGAGCGGTGAGAATGTGGAATAGACTCCCTCCAGAGTTGGTTGTGGCCAGCTCAGTGGATTGCTGTAGGAAAGTCCTGGATTCTTTCTTGGATACACAGAATATAACTGGATATAACATTTATAGGGAAAGTTGATTCAGGGAATATCCGATTGCCTCTCGGGGGATCAGGAAGGAATTTTTTCCCCTGCAGGAGCAAATTGGATCGTGCTTTGCTGGGTTTTTTATGCCTTCCTCTGGATCAACTGTGGGTGTAGGATTATAACTTTTTTTTTTTTTTTGAACTGGATGGACTTTTGTGTTTTTTCAGCCAGACTAACTGTATAATTATGAATAGTGACCCATCGTTGGTGTCGGTGGAAGTAATAATGCCCCATCAATGGTATCAGTGGGAGGAATATTGCCCCATCAATGGTATCAGTGGGAGGAGCAGTGTCCCATCATTGGTGTCAGTGGATGGAATAGTGCCCCATCATTGGTGTCAGTGGATGGAAAAGTGCCCCATCATTGGTATCAGTGGGAGGAGCAGTGCCCCATCATTGGTGTCAGTAGAAGGAATAGTGTCCCATCTTTGGTGTCAGTGGGAGGAATAGTGCCCCATCATTGGTGTCAGTGGGAGGAATAGTGCCCCATCATTGGTGTCAGTGGGAGGAATAGTGCCCCATCATTGGTATCAGTGGGAGGAATAGTGTCCCATCATTGGTATCAGTGGGAGGAATAGTGCCCCATCATTGGTGTCAGTGGAAGGAATAGTGCCCCATCATTGGTGTCAGTAGAAGGAATAGTGTCCCATCTTTGGTGTCAGTGAGAGGAATAGTGCCCCATCATTGGTGTCCGTGGGATGAATAGTGCCCCATCATTGGTATCAGTGAGAGGAATAGTGCCCCATCATTGGTGTCCGTGGGATGAATAGTGCCCCATCATTGGTGTCAGTGGGAGGAATAGTGCCCCATCATTGGTGTCAGTGGGGGGAATAGTGCCCCATCATTGGTGTCAGTGGGAGGAATAGTGCCCCATCATTGGTGTCAGTGGGATGAATAGTGCCCCATCATTGGTGTCAGTGGGAGGAATAGTGCCTCATCATTGGTGTCAGTGGAAGGAATAGTGCAAAATCATTGGTGTCAGTGGGAGGAATAGTGCCCCATCATTGGTGTCAGTGGGAGGAATAGTCAGGAGAGGGCGGCGCAGACACTCGGGAGAGGTGAGAAGATACCCCCGACCATTGACAGATATTACCGTCTCCTTCATTGGACCCTCTATACAACTACATTAGACTGGAGTTCCTGAAGTGGTCATTTCCGAGTACAACCGTTGCTACATTGTTGCCGTTTTATATGTTTGCCTTGCGCAAATTAAAAAAAAATAAAAATGGTGGATTTTTTTTCATCCTTCTGAAAGTTGCTAATCTTGCTGGTCTTGACACCAGCTTTGTATTTGTCTGAATTTTTTTAAACTCTTCATCTTTCTTGGCCATGTGGAAGGCGAGGAAAGACATGTTTTTGGTATTCCTCATGCGCATTACCTTTGGGTGTAGATTGGTTACATTGCTTGCAAAATGTCCTTGCAGCATTTCTCTTTCACACTGTTGTAGTTTTAGCTTTCCTGCATGGTCTGAGTTACCCGTGAAGGTTCAACCAAGTTTTTACCATCCCATCTTCCCTTCGTTATCTCCTCTGCAGAAACCGTCCGAGCCATGACGCATGTCATTAACCAAGGAATGGCAATGTACTGGGGTACCTCACGCTGGAGCTCTATGGAAATAATGGTAATTGTTGTTTTCTTCTTTATTTTTCCTGGTTTGTATCTCTGAATTGTCATTGCTAAAGAAAAAGAACATGGGCAGCGCAGTGGCTAAGTGGTTAGCACTTCCGCCTGGCAGCATGCGGGTCGTCGGTTTCAATCCCAACCACGGCACCACCTGCCTGGAGTTTGCAAGTTTCTCCCTATGCATGTGTGGGTTTCCTCCGGGTATTCCGGTTTCCTCCCACACTCCAAAGACATGCTGGGAGGTGAATTGGATCCTGTATAAATTGTCCCTAGTATGTGTATGTATGAATCTGAGTTAGGGACCTTAGATTGTACGCCCCTTGATGGTTAGGGACTGATGTGAATGTACAATATATGTGTAGAGTGCTGTGTACATTGATGGTGCTATAGAAGTACCTGAAATATATAAATTCAGGGCAGCACAGTGGCTAAATGGTTAGCACTTCCACCTGGCAGCTCTCGGGTCATTGGTTCAAATCCCAACCACAGCACCACCTGCCTGGAGTTTTGCATGTTCTCCCTGTGCCTGCGTGGGTTTCCTCGGGTACTCCAGTTTCCTCCCACACTCCAAAGACATGCTGGGAGGTGAATTGGCTCCTGTCTAAATTGGCCCTAGTATGTGTATGTATGAATGTGAGTTAGGTACCTTAGATTGCACGCCCCAGAATACAATATATATATATATATATATGTAAAGTGCTGCGTAAATTGACGGCGCTCTATAAGTACCTGTAATAGTAATTTAAGTAATAAAAGCAAACACTCTGTGCACTTTACTACTTTGTTATGGGTGGCTTTGTAAAAAATATTTTAATAAAAATATTGAAAGAAAAAATTATATGTTATGGTATCCTTAGATGGTTGCTTAGTTTTGCAGACTTTACACACTAGCAAGCAAGAGTAGACTAGAAAATAATAGAATAGAACAGAATAGAAAAAAAAATAGAATATAATAGAATAGAAAAGAATAGAGTGGGAGGGGGCAGAGTGGGAGGGGGCAGAGTGGGAGGGGGCAGAGTAAAACGGAGCAGAATAAAATAAAATAAAAAATAAAAGAATAGATTATGATAGAAAAGAATACACTAGAAAATACTAGAATATAATAGAATAGAAAAGAAAAAAATAGGAAAGAAGAGAGTAAAAGAGAATGGAATAGAATAGAATAGAGAATAATAGAATAAAATAGAATAGAAAATAAAAGAATAGAATAAAATAGAATAGAAAATAAAGGAATAAAATAGAATAGAAAAAAGGAATAAAATAGAATAGAAAATAAAGAAATAAAATAGAATTAAAAAAAAGGAATAGAATTGAAAATAAAGGAATAGAAAAGAATAGAACAGAAAAGATTGGAACAGAAAAAGCAGTAGAATGGATTGAAATAGAATATAACCGTCTTCCAAAATTGGAATAGAATATATTCACATTTGAATGTTGATTTGATACTTTTCAATTTGGTCAAATTGAAATCAATTCGACCAAATTCGGAAAATTCAAATCAATAAAACAAAACAAATTCTGAAAAGGAATTAAATTCATTTAACAAATTTAACTAAACAAAATTATTTAAATAATGAATCAAAAAGAAGCAAATCTTTTGGTTCTGCACATGTCTAGGATCGCCTTCGTGATAAGTGACAATGGTGGACCATGGCTGACTGTAGTCTCCACCAGAGGCACACGTGACAAGGTGACCACACAGGAGCACAACGGGACATAGATGGCCCCCATATGCCAGAAGACCTTCATGGCAGAATAATTTGAAGATTTAAAATGTTACAGAATTGTTCCAATTGTCCCGTAAAAAGTGCCACCAACATGTATCCTGTAGTCCGCCATCACCCAGATAGGGAATGTCCTGAAGAAGGAATCTACCTGTCCAGGGGCAGCCTAAGTATTACAGCAGAAAGAGAAGCGGGATTTTGGCTAAAAATAAATATTAGATACAAAGACATAAAAAAAAGAGAATTGACGTTGATCTGTGCAGACAAGAGCTAGTTATAGTTAAATTGCTTCCAGAAGATGTGCAGCTTAATTATTTTTGGAGTTGAGTGAGCATTGTTCCACTACACGGGACAGCGGACTGAACCCAGAATATATGTACGGTGTATATAGAACACAACATATATATATGTTCAGCCCACTTCAGATATGGTTTCGTTTTATATATCCACGAACGTTTAATTGCACATTCCGGAATCCCTCCATATTCAGTATTTTCCAGCCCATGCCACACCATGAAAAACCTTCATAATGGACCCACCATGTGAAAGGGGCCTTAACCACTTCCAGTCCGGACACTTTCCCCCCCTTCCAGTCCGGACACTTTCCCCCCCTTCCAGTCCGGACACTTTCCCCCCCTTCCAGTCTGGACACTTTCCCCCCCTTCCAGTCCGGACACTTTCCCCCCCTTCCAGTCTGGACACTTTCCCCCCCCTTCCAGTCTGGACACTTTCCCCCCCCTTCCAGTCCGGACACTTCCCCCCCCCTTCCAGTCCGGACACTTCCCCCCCCCCCCCCTTCCAGTCCGGACACTCCCCTCCCCCCCCCTTCCAGTCCGGACCTCCCCCCCCCCCCCCCTTCCAGTCCGGACACTCCCCCCCCCCCCCTTCCAGTCCGGACACTCCCCCCCCCCCCCTTCCAGTCCGGACACTTCCCCCCCCCCCCTTCCAGTCCGGACACTTCCCCCCCCCCCCTTCCAGTCCGGACACTTCCCCCCCCCCCCCTTCCAGTCCGGACACTTCCCCCCCCCCCCCCTTCCAGTCCGGACACTCCCCCCCCCCCCCTTCCAGTCCGGACACTTTCCCCCCCTTCCAGTCCGGACACTTTCCCCCCTTCCAGTCCGGACACTCCCCCCCCCCTTCCAGTCCGGACACCCCCCCCCCCCCCTTCCAGTCCGGACACTTCCCCCCCCCCCCTTCCAGTCCGGACACTCCCGCCCCCCCCCCCCCCTTCCAGTCCGGACACTTCCCCCCCCCCCCCCCTTCCAGTCCGGACACTTCCCCCCCTCCCTTCCAGTCCGGACACTTCCCCCCCCCCTTCCAGTCCGGACACTTCCCTCCCTTCCAGTCCGGACACTTCCCCCCCCTTCCAGTCCGGACACTCCCCCCCCCCCCCCCCCTTCCAGTCCGGACACTCCCCCCCCCCCCCCCTTCCAGTCCGGACACCCCCCCCCCCCCCTTCCAGTCCGGACACTCCCCCCCCCCCCCCTTCCAGTCCGGACACTCCCCCCCCCCCCCCTTCCAGTCCGGACACCCCCCCCCCCCCCTTCCAGTCCGGACACCCCCCCCCCCCTTCCAGTCCGGACACTTCCCCCCCCCCTTCCAGTCCGGACACTTCCCCCCCCCCCTTCCAGTCCGGACACTTCCCCCCCCTTCCAGTCCGGACACTTCCCCCCCCCCCTTCCAGTCCGGACACTTCCCCCCCCCCCCCTTCCAGTCCGGACACTTCCCCCCCCCCCTTCCAGTCCGGACACTTCCCCCCCCCCCTTCCAGTCCGGACACTTCCCCCCCCCCTTCCAGTCCGGACACTTCCCCCCCCCTTCCAGTCCGGACACTTCCCCCCCCCCCCCTTCCAGTCCCCCCCCCCCCCCCCCCTTCCAGTCCGGACACTTCCCCCCCCCCCCCCCCCCCTTCCAGTCCGGACACCTCGGTCCCCCCCCCCCCCCCCCCTTCCAGTCCGGACACTTCCTTCCCCCCCCCCTTCCAGTCCGGGCACTCCCCCCCCCCCCCCCCTTTCCAGTCCGGGCACTCCCCCCCCCCCTTTCCAGTCCGGGCACTCCCCCCCCCCCCCCTTCCAGTCCGGGCACTCCCCCCCCTTCCAGTCCGGGCACTCCCCCCCCTTCCAGTCCGGGCACTCCCCCCCCCTTCCAGTCCGGGCACTCCCCCCCCCCCCCCTTCCAGTCCGGGCACTCCCCCCCCCCTTCCAGTCCGGGCACTCCCCCCCCCCCTTCCAGTCCGGGCACTCCCCCCCCCCCTTCCAGTCCGGGCACTCCTCCCCCCCCTTCCAGTCCGGGCACTCCCCCCCCCCCCCTTCCAGTCCGGGCACTCCCCCCCCCCTTCCAGTCCGGGCACTCCCCCCCCCCTTCCAGTCCGGGCACTCCCCCCCCCCCCCCCTTCCAGTGCGGACACTTTCCCCCCCCTTCAGTGCGGACACTTTTCCCCCCCTTCCAGTCCGGACACTTTCCCCCCCTTCCAGTCCGGACACTTTCCCCCCCTTCCAGTCCGGACACTTTCCCCCCCCCTTCCAGTCCGGACACTTTGCCCCCCTTCCAGTCCGGACACTTTGCCCCCCTTCCAGTCCGGACACTTTGCCCCCCTTCCAGTCCGGACACTTTGCCCCCCTTCCAGTCCGGACACTTTGCCCCCCTTCCAGTCCGGACACTTTGCCCCCCTTCCAGTCCGGACACTTTCCCCCCCTTCCAGTCCGGACACTTTCCCCCCCTTCCAGTCCGGACACTTTCCCCCCCCTTCCAGTCCGGACACTTTCCCCCCCTTCCAGTCCGGACACTTTCCCCCCCTTCCAGCCCGGACACTTTCCCCCCCTTCCAGCCCGGACACTTTCCCCCCCTTCCAGCCTGGACACTTTCCCCCCCTTCCAGCCTGGACACTTTCCCCCCCCTTCCAGCCTGGACACTTTCCCCCCCCCCTTCCAGCCTGGACACTTTCCCCCCCCCTTCCAGTCCGGACACTTCCCCCCCTTCCAGTCCGGACACTTCCCCCCCTTCCAGTCCGGACACCCCCCCCCCTTCCAGTCCGGACACTTCCCCCCCCCCTTCCAGTCCGGACACTTCCCCCCCCCCCTTCCAGTCCGGACACTTTCCCCCCCCCCCCCCTTCCAGTCCGGACACTTCCCCCCCCCCCCCCCTTCCAGTCCGGACACTTCCCCGGACCCCCCCCCTTCCAGTCCGGACACTTCCCCCCCCCCCTTCCAGTCCGGACACTTCCCCCCCCCTTCCAGTCCGGACACTTCCCCCCCCCCCCCCTTCCAGTCCGGACACTTCCCCCCCCCCCCCTTCCAGTCCGGACACCCCCCCCCCCCCCCCCCCTTCCAGTCCGGACACTTCCCCCCCCCCCCCTTCCAGTCCGGACACTCCGGCCCCCCCCCCCCCCCCCCCCCCCCCCTTCCAGTCCGGACACTTCCCCCCCCCCCCCTTCCAGTCCGGACACTTCCCCCCCCCCCCCCCTTCCAGTCCGGGCACTTCCCCCCCCCCCCCCCTTTCCAGTCCGGGCACTCCCCCCCCCCCCCCCTTTCCAGCCTGGACACCCCCCCCCCCCCCTTCCAGCCTGGACACTTTCCCCCCCCCCCCCCCCCTTCCAGCCTGGACACTTTCCCCCCCTTCCACACTTCCCCCCCCTTCCGGACACTTCCCCCCCTTCCAGCCTGGACACTTCCCCTTCCAGCCTTTCCCCCCCTTCCAGCCTGGACACTTTCCCCCCCTTCCAGCCTGGACACTTTCCCCCCCTTCCAGCCTGGACACTTTCCCCCCCTTCCAGCCTGGACACTTTCCCCCCCCTTCCAGCCTGGACACTTTCCCCCCCTTCCAGCCTGGACACTTTCCCCCCCCTTCCAGCCTGGACACTATCCCCCCCCTTCCAGTCCGGACACTCCCCCCCCAGGCCAATTTGCAGCTTTCAGCGCTATCACACTTTGAATGACAATTGTGCGGTCATGCAACACTGTGATGTTCCAGTACTGCCCATATTATAATAGATGTAAATCCCAACTAGATGACATACCATGTCCAGAAAGTAACGAGTATGGTATTTTAAAAATTCTTTTATTGAAAAAGTTTACAACTGAACATTGTCTCCTTCAAAGTATGTGCCTTGTGAGTGTACACAACGCTCCCAGCAATTCTTCCGTTCTTCATAGCATCCCTGAAAGTCTTCAAGCGGGATGGTGTTCAGGGCCTGTGTTGTGGCTCTTTGGACATTAGCCATACTACCAAGATGATTTCCTCTCAAACCCTTCTTCATCTTTGGGACTATGAAAAAGTTGCAAGGAGCCAAGTTGGGGCTGTACAGTGGAAGGGGAAGCACTGTGATGTGTTTTTCAGCCAAAAACTCTCTGACAGCCAAAGCACTGTGACTCGGTGCGTTGTCGTGATTAAGAATCCATGTTGAGCCGATCTCGGCGTGCACATGAAAAACTCTGTCTCAAGCATCCAAGAACTTCCAGGTAAACGCTTTGATTCACAGTTGGACCAGTAAGTACAAATTCCTTCTGGACAAATCCACGTGAATTAATAAAACAATGACCATTGATTTGACCTTTGATTTTCTAGTTGGAGTTTTCGAGGTGACGTGGATGTGTGCCATTCTGAATTTGGTTCTTCGTCTCTGGATCGTACTCCAACACCCAGGATTCATCTCCCGTGATCACTCGACTCAAAAAATCAGGCTCTCTTTCCAAACGGGCCAACAGGTCTTGACAAATAAGTTGACGGTGTTCCTCCTGAACAGGTGACAAGTTCTTTGGAACAAGTCACGATTTAATGACCAATTAACTTGGTAATTCCCGTTTTTCTCTTCAATCATCCCGATAGCGAACCATCAGTCACGGTTGAGAACAAACCTCACAGCATCCACATTCTGTTCCATGTTTGATGGGCGTCCTGACCATTGTTCATCTTTAACACCTTCTCGTCCTTCCTTGAAGGCCTTGTGCCAGCAGTACACTTATGCAGATGATAGTGCCGCTTCTCCAAAAGCTTTCCTCATCATTTCCGAAGTTTTGGATGCACGTTTACCCAAGTTCACACACAATGTTATTGTGTACCGCTGTTCCAAACTCACTTCCATTTTTCTTAATGCAAGGCACTTGAACAAGGTGTCACAAAAAAGAATGTCTCGACTCTGACAGGGATGGAATGCAACTGATCAGTGTTCTAATGTATACCTGGCACCTCACCCCAAGTGACCTTGGCCAGCTTCTCCCTTCAGAGAGCCCTTCTTGAGCATAGGAACTTCATTCTCATTATATTCTAGACACACCTTAGGATAGGGGTTCTATATTGAGGAACACAGGAATTCAGATACTGTTGGGTTACACCGCTGCCTGAAGGAGGTTTGGATACAAAAAATATGTAGGCAAGCTTAAGGATATCTCCTCTTCTACCCAGCATGTATCAGTTTGTAGGAAGCAGTACCAAGAGCATGAACAGAAATACAAGGGTGGCAGAACCGTGTCCTAGAACAGACTCAAAGAAAAGGATTTTACGGTAAATACAAAAATCCTATTTTCTTGGGCCTTGCAGTTCAGGATCCTCCTGGGACTACGATTAAAATCTTAACTGGATGACTTTGAGCTCCATTATCAGACGGGGAACCTACCTACATGGTCAAAGGGAGGACATGGGGAATCAACCTGATGTTTGCAACCTGGAAGAAAGTCACCACCAGTGGGAATGACTCTACTGGTGCATTGAACCTGAGCTAGCCAGAATGTAGTCAACCAAAAACTGACCAATGAACTGGTGACACCATGAATGGAAGAGAAGATCCACAACATAATGTGGCCAATAACAGATGGGGACAAGCCTTAGCAGGAACAGATCCCTGGAATGCTCCTGGCGTTTCCTCTACGCAGAGTTGCAGAAAGGAGAGATCAGCCCACGGCATTCACATGACTTTCCACTCAGCAGATAACATCAGCACTCAGCCCTCAAGTGTTAACCTCTTCCATGCTAAACCGGCAGTAAAGGGAAATTTGAAAGGTACGGATACCAAAAGCTGAAACCTGATTTCTGAAAGGTGCCTATGGAACTAATAGCGAGGTGAGGCATCTCCTGGTCCTTCAGCCAGAACGACCTTACGTAACAGAGTGGGTCTTCAGAGAGGGGCAAATGCTAAAGCAATGCTACAGCTCTGGACCTACAAAACAGTCGATGGCTAATATTTACTAGTACCCGAAGGTCTGAAAAGTGCCGCAGTGCAGAACCCAGTGCTTGACGGACATATTCCAAAAAGTGTCACACAGTCAGTCCGGCAAGGTCTGGGTCCAACACTCCATAGTCAAATTTAGGAAAGGCTGATCAGGACAGTACCTATGTAGAGACCAGCTAAAGCAGTAATGTAGTGAAATATTGATTTAAAGCCAGTGAAAGAAGAATCCAAAGGAAAAATAAGCTGAAGAAAAAAAGTCTGGCAAAGACTGGTTAGACTCCTCTCAGCAGAGCCTGAAGGAAAGATGTCCATCATCCTAGGACACTAGCAAAAAAACCAGGCATGATGGGGAGATGAGGAGCTATCTTGCCTTACCTGCCATTTTTTTTGTTTGCCAGCGTCTTTTTCTGTGGCGGCAGTATAGCCCAAGAGTATCCAAATTCCTGTGTTCCTTAATCAATGAGAACGTTTGATTCGGACTGGAAACCGTGCTGGACTGATTTTCTCTGTCCCTAGTAGTTGGTAGGTAGCTCCATGGGGAATGAGGAAGGTATCACCTCCATTGGGTAAAGCCCAACGGTGGGTGTTGGTGATGGACCCCTTGGGGGCTCAGGCTGATACCTTTCTGATACTACTTTGTGGCTGGGTGCCTACGAGCCTGGGTGAGGTGGAGGGGTGGGTGGGGGGTGGTAGACACCTGTGTCCAGAATAATTAAACTTTTGTACAATTCCAAAAATTGAAAAGTGTAAACATGGAGCCAATGCATTTTGGGGGAATTGCCTCCCCCTTCTTCAGGGCTGTTAGAATGAACTCACTCCAACTGCACATCATTACTCTGGACCAGCTTCCTGATGGTGACAATGATAGACTATACCTCCACCATGTGTAGACTACATCAGCAGCATGTGTGACAGGGTGACAACAGGGGCATAGCTGGAAGACCGTTGTCACCCCATAAGGAGTATCTTCATGTAAGGATCGCCTGGGATTATTTTAATAAACGCTTCAGATTAAAAAAAAAAATTGAAATTACGTTTTGAAATGTCATTGACATCATGTTAAAGCTTGGATGATGTTTTTTTATTGGGTTCAGATCTACTTTAAAAGTCCGTATTTTATATACTAATCCAGGGGCGGGCAACTGTGGCCCTCCAGCTGTTGTAGAACTACAAGTCCCATGAGTCATTGCAAAACTGACAGTTACAAGCATGACTCCCAAAGGCAGAGGCATGATGGAATTGTAGTTCGCCAACAGCTGGAGGGCCACAGTTGCCCACCCCTGTACTAATCTGTTTTCCCCAAAATGCCCTCTGCTGGTTGACTTGCAGATTGCAGAGAACCAGAACAATGTGACGTGACATTCCCGGTGTATTCTTTCTTCCCTTGTAGGAAGCATACTCAGTAGCGCGGCAGTTTAATCTGATTCCTCCCATCTGTGAACAAGCCGAATATCACATGTTTCAAAGGGAGAAGGTAGAAGTCCAACTTCCGGAGCTCTTCCATAAGATTGGTAAGGTGCTGCCCCCTTATGTGTGGATTAATGGGGTTACCTGATTGTCATGGAAGCAAGCAGGCTACCATTGCTGATTTCTGCTTTGGAAAATGCTAGTTTCCTGGCTGTCACGCGAACCAGTGCTCTGCTCAGGGGCACTCATTGTCGCTGAATGTCCCATGTGCAAGTCGAATTCTTGGACTCGGCATGTTACTGTCCAAGAACAAACACCTCTTCGTTCTGTGCAGACGAGGAGTAGTCTTTACAATGCCTGGGACTCTCACGGTCCAGAATATTCAACTGCTGTGGAAGAAGAAATGGTGGAAGCTTTCTTCATGGCGGGTTCTTGGTGCCTTGTACCCAGTACCGGGACAAGGTTATCCAGTGCCAAGAGTGAAGATGGTGATTTGTTCCCCCCTACCAGGTAGAGTCCCCAGTAGAGTTAGTCTATGTATCAGGTGCCCCCAAGAGAGTCCCCCTTTACATCAGGTGCCCCCAAGAGAGTCCCCCTTTACATCAGGTGCCCCCAAGAGAGTCCCCCTTTACATCGGGTGCCCCCAAGAGAGTCCCCCTTTACATCGGGTGCCCCCAGCAGAGTCCCCCTCTATATCGGGTGCCCCCAGCAGAGTCCCCCTCTACATCGGGTGCCCCCAGCAGATTCCCTCTTTATATCACATGCCCCCACCCTTTCCCACTTGTACTCATGTTACATGTCAAATGAAAGGGGGAGAGAGAGGAAGGAGGATACCATCTACCCTCCTTCCTTAGCGGCAATGCTGAGATTGAGGACAGTTTTCTGTCCCAGCCCTGACTCTTTTCTGCTGCATGCAGGCTAGAGGGAGGAGGAAGCTGTTATCGGCTGCTGCTCCTTCTGACAAGAGTGACACTGCAGTCACTTTTGTCAGTAAGGATTGGGTCGAGCAGCCAACTCAGCAGTCAATACAGCACCCAGGGCAGGTTCCTGCTCACCCCACCCCCACCCTGCTTTTACAACTTGGACATTACAAGCCAGTGGCATGGTTGTGAAGAACGTTTCCTGCTTCTAGAATTTTCTGCCCTAGAATTGTGCAGTGCCCAGGGCAACATAACTGCAGGAGAGAATCCTAACACTTGCCTGAACCCCGTCAGGTAAAAATTGGCTCCTAACTCCCAGGGGCCCCTAGAGCAGCTTCAGAGTGCACAAATAGTATGCCCCTAATACCCTGCAGGTACCCCTGCGAGTTGGTGCATTAAGGTAGCTACCAAAGTCTTCACATGGATTTTGAAGTTGCCGGCTCAATTATTTTATAAAAGGCAGCTTTAGGTGCTTTTTAACTGTTTTTGTTTTCCTCCCCTGGAGAAAAGGCATTCAGGGGAGGAAAAAAAAAAACCCAAATGCCTGTGTGCATGGGAACTTAGGGTACAACTTACCACATGCTTGTACCTGTTCCTTCTCCTGTTACTTTTTCCAGCTAAGTTGTCCTTAGAAACTGGTGGGGAAGTTCCCCCAAGAAAATCTTTCCATGGATCGTCTAAAGTGTAGATGCCATCTTTGTTTCTGTAAAATAAAAAATGATACATTCCCTCAGTGGCACTATTGAAATAAGTGAGTATAACATATAAAAGTCTGTCTGGGGGCGGTTCTATGTATAGCTTTGAATTCATTATGTAAGCAAATTAAAATATATTGCTCCCATTTCACCAATCAACATTTCCACCATTTTACAATCATTGGGTTTACTGTTGCGGTGGTTTTGCTCCATACATGACCGCGTATGTTTTGGTCTTCTCCTCCAGGTGTGGGCGCTATGACGTGGTCACCGCTTGCTTGTGGGATCGTTTCTGGGAAATACGATGGTGGAATTCCCCCATATTCTAGGGCTTCACTCAAGGTTCGTAATACTTTGTAATGATTACATCCTTGAGTACATAGGCAAGGCTGAAGGTTATTATGACAGCGGAGAAGACACTGCTCTACAAAGCCCACGGTAAAAGCATCGATTCATAAGTCTGATGGACCATTGACGTTTCCCAGAAGACATTTGTCCAAATATAAATAGCTTATTTTCTCTATTTCTTGTAAATGTCGTCTAATTCCTAGCTGTGCGTGATTTTTCAGGGTTATCAGTGGTTAAAGGACAAGATATTGAGTGAAGAAGGACGACGGCAACAAGCTAAGCTGAAAGAGCTTCAGGCCATCGCAGAACGTTTGGGCTGCACGCTTCCTCAGTTAGCCATTGGTGAGTCTAGTTGTACTAATACGTCCTTGATGAGCCGGGAGCGTTCCTGTATGTGGTTTCCTGTGGATGGAGCAGATCTGACTCTTGGTAGGCAAGCTGCACTCTTGGGATTGCTTGGACTGACATGGACCATGCAGATCTTTAACGCCAGGGACAGGTTAAAATATATGCTGTGTGCATGGGTGGACATGAAGGGTCGCAATGGCGACCCCACTCGTGCTCCAGGGGGTCAGTATGGCCTCCCTTTCACATTGGGATTTTAAAAAAAAAGCGCTTGCTATGCCACCCTGTACAGGTAATTCAGCAAACTTGGAAGGCCAACCTATGCCCATTGCGGGCCTTTTGAGTTTCTGGTTTCACCTACCCAAGGTGATGGGCAAGCCCTTCCGCACAATGCTCCGCCCCCAGCCCAGTACAGCCCCCCACCCTGCTCAACTGTGCAAAAGCACCCAAGGTGGAGGCGGGCAGGCCACACTCTGAGCTGTCAGGTGTAAGTGGTGAGCTTGTATGTGAACCTGGAGATCAGGGGGCCTGCTCACTCACCCCTTGCAGGACCTTCTGAGCTTCCTCTTTTACATACAAGCCCACAGCTTTCATTATGTTGGTGCGCAGTGGGACCAGCAGGTTTTAATGGAGGGCCACAGGTCAACGTTTGCATTGGGGCCCACAAGAATTAAGCTACGCATCTGGCTGTTCGCCTCATATTAGGCAAAGGCGCTTGATAAATTATAGTTAAATAATTTGTGGAAACATTTGAATTTCAGAAGATAAAGCTTTTAAAGAATATTTTTTGCTAGATAAATCTGGCTGTATCATTCCTAGGCTCAGTCCTTGTCTATTCCATTAAATCTTCATCCATGTTGGGCTCTTTTGTATCCCGGATAGATTCTGCATCACGTTGGCTTTGAGTTGTGGTCAGCCCATTACTAAAGACGTTTGTTCTGTTTGCAGCCTGGTGTCTGAGAAATGAGGGTGTCAGTTCGGTGCTGTTAGGAGCTTCTAATGCTGACCAACTCCTGGAGAATATTGGAGCAATACAGGTTAGTCATGTACTACAAAACCACGGTGGACGATTCTTCTAGTGCAGTGGTGGGCAACCTTTTTTTTTCAACTGAGCCAAATCTCGCCAAAACCATGATTGAAATTTATTTTGAGAGCCACATTTTTAAAACTGAAAATACATCTCCCATATAGTAATTCATCCCCCATAGTAATTTCATCCCCCATATAGTAATTCATCCCCCATAGTGTAATTCATCCCCCATAGTAATTCATCCCCCATATAGTAATTCATCCCCCATCGTAATTCATCCCCCATAGTAATTCATCCCCCATAGTAATTCATCCCCCATATAGTAATTCATCCTCCATATAGTAATTCATCCCCCATAGTAATTCATCCCCCATATAGTAATTCATCCCCCATAGTAATTCATCCCCCATAGTAATTCATCCCCCATATAGTAATTCATCCCCCATAGCAATTCATCCCCCGTATAGTATTTCATCCCTCGTATAGTATTTCATCCCCCGTATAGTATTTCATCCCTCATATAGTATTTCATCCCTCATATAGTAATTCATCCCTCATATAGTATTTCATCCCTCATATAGTATTTCATCCCCCCATATAGTATTTCATCCCCCCATATAGTATTTCATCCCCCCATATAGTATTTCATCCCTCATATAGTATTTCATCCCCCCATATAGTATTTTCATCCCCCCATATAGTATTTCATCCCCCCATATAGTATTTCATCCCTCATATAGTATTTCATCCCTCATATAGTATTTCATCCCTCATATAGTAATTCATCCCCCATATAGTATTTCATCCCTCATATAGTATTTCATCCCTCATATAGTATTTCATCCCTCATATAGTAATTCATCCCTCATATAGTATTTCATCCCTCATATAGTATTTCATCCCTCATATAGTATTTCATCCCCCCATATAGTATTTCATCCCCCATATAGTAATTCATCCCCCATATAGTAATTCATCCCCCATATAGTAATTCATCCCTCATATAGTATTTCATCCCTCATATAGTAATTCATCCCCCATATAGTAATTCATCCCCCATATAGTAATTCATCCCTCATATAGTAATTCATTCCTCATATAGTATTTCATCCCCCCATATAGTAATTCATCCCTCATAAAGTAATTCATCCCTCATATAGTATTTCATCCCCCACAGTACTATCCCCCCCCCCCCTTCTAGTAAGCCAAGTCCCCCGTGTCAATTCACTTACCTTTTGCGTTCCTCTCGCTGTCTTCCCGCGCCGTTCGGGTCTTCAGGGCGGACTGTGAGAGGAGCCTAGCTCCCCTCCCCTCACGTTCGGCACGCTGCCCCGCCTACACACATCCTGACAGCCACATCCGCGGGCCGGATTAAAAGGTCCGCGCGGACTTTTGGGGCTGCCAACCGAGAGGAGGCAGGGGAGCGGCCGACCGAGAGGAGGGAGGGGAGCAGGCGCCCGGCACACAGAAGAGCCGCATTAGAGTGGGTAAAGAGCCGCATGTGGCTCGCGAGCCGCAGCTTGCCGACCACTGTTCTAGTGAATCTGCACTCTTTGCATGATACTGGTGTAGCACTACCCCCTTAGGAGTCACTAAAAGATTTGGGTCCCCCCATAATCACACATCTTCACACAGGCTTGCAACCATAGTCATAGTCTTTCAGCTTTAGTTTTGTTGTTTTATTGAGGGGATTTGAACTGGGATTGGGTTAGGGGTGTACAGGATGCCCAAGGAAACTGATCAGGACAACTGCCTGGAACAATTTACAAGCCTTCTCTGCAGCACAGTCTTTGTTGGAGAACTAGCCAGCGTCTCCTTAATGTACCAACCCAAACCCTAGATGAACTCCTCTTCGTCACTCAGCAATCTGGAGGTATCCCTGAACAGGAGATCTGGTGCTTGTTAGTTTCAAAGTGGACAGTCCCAAATAGGCAGCAAATCTAGTTTCCCACCAGAGTGCTCCTTCCTCTATCCGCCCAGTGGGTGGAGGGGTACTTACTCAGATTCTCTCCTGTACCGTTGGCTGCTGCTACCAGGCCTTTCCAGTTGGGCCGCTTTTTCCTTGCAATACAGGTGGTCCTCTCTCAGGGGGCAAGTGAAAGTCTGAGCTTCTCCCTTTCCAGTTCCAGGCCTGCAGGTAGGCCCCATCCCATTGGGCCTCCTCGCAGCCTCCTGCCTCACATCTTCCTCAGTGTCTTCCACCTGAACTCTCCTGCAACTGAGCAGGTGCCAACACTTTTAAGGGTGTCCTGGGCCCTTTCCAACCTCCTGTTAGAGATTGGCCAGGATCCCTCAAGAGTGCAAGCCATCCACTCCTAGTTTAGATAGGGGGAGCTGGAGTTCTGATTGTTAGTGAGGAAAGCTGAGTAGCAGCCTGGGTGCAATAGCCAGAAGGCCAAATTGTGGTCAGAAGCTGAGAGGCTCTTCAGACTGGCCCCTCTAGAATTTCCCCAGCTGTAGAGGAAGGCCCTAGAGGCAGTGGGAAATTCTGAGGATTAGCCAATAGTCAACAAAGCGATCTGTTAGCATTTGAGAGGGTTTATCACCCTATTTAATTTTCTTTTACTTCCAGTTTACGACAACTGGACACTACAGTTGAAAATGAATTAGTATCCGAATGAATGGTCCTCCAACTAAAGTTTTCAACTACAATTCTTCTAGTCTATGGTCAGCTTTAGCTTTGTACATGAAATATCTTTCCTGAAGGATCCGAGGCTTAGCGAAGAGATCTGTGAAGCCATATCTCATTTGAAAGGGTCATCACCCAATTTAATCTTCTTTTACTTCCAGTGTACGACAACTGGGCTTTGACATTTGTCTCCAGGTAGATATCTCACCATTTCACTTTGAGGTTTCATGTCACTGATAACAGGCAGTTGAGGTTAGAGGCGCACAAAATGGAGTAAAGTAGTGGGAAGGGCCATCATTTTGAGGTTCAGCCGGAGTGCCTCCCAATGACGAGCCGATAGGCCCAACTGCTCCTTTACTGAATGAACGGCTGTGCCTCCTGGGATATGTAATTTAGCAAAATCACATATCCCAGGAGGCAAAGGGAGGACAGTGCATGTCATTTGCCTAGGCAAATGATGTGTGTGGGGGTATGGGGGGTGGGTTGGGGCAGAACAATTAAAGAAAAAAAGAAAAGAAAAAAAAGAGCACTATTTGTGCCGAGGACCGGAGGAGGAATAATGTACTTGAGGGCGAAGATACATTTTATGGATTAGGTTTCCATAGATTGTGTTCCAGATTCCATACAAATCATATTGTTCTGACTTGGCTTTTCTTTTGATACCACAGGTCCTTCCAAAACTATCGTCTTCTATTATACACGAGATTGATAGTATTTTGGGCAACAAGCCATACAGCAAAAAGGACTACCGATCCTAATGCAGGAAGCCGCATTTCTGGACTGTCCTAGTTCTGCTCCGGTTCTTCTACTTGCCTGCTTTAAGCTTTACTCGATCCAAGTGGAGTGTGGTCGTATCAAAAAAAAAAAAAAAACAAAAAAAAAAAAAAAAAAACCCAAAACACATTTCCAGATAACGCCAGAAAACTGTTCAAAAAAGTATTATTAATGTGAAAATACCATGCGCTTAATGTATCCAAATCTCTGCTAATTTGTTTAGCTGCACAGCAAGTAGTCGTGTAGGGGCGGGCGCTGTCTGTGGAAGCGGGATACCGTTTTTTTTTAACGTCACTTTAAGAGTACGGGCACTCCATACCATGGCGGCAGATGTCTTATGATGCATGATAAAGTAACCAATCAAATAAGGGAAGGAGTGACATCACACATACCCTGAATTATTACTCTGTAATACATGGGGGGTGGTGGTACCGCATCTGCAAAGGTGCGGAAACCTTTTCAGGTAGAGCTCTGACTTCTGAGGTGTCGCTGGCAAATTGTATATAAAATTCACGTTTTAATTCTTACAGAAATTGGGGCTGAACTCTAGGAATTCAGACAATTTGTCCAATGTGCTGGCATGCTATGAGTTAAGTTCAACGAGGTGCATCCCACCTCATGGACTCATCTCTTTAATCTGCATTTGACAGTTTTACGGAGCTCCTGGAGCACAGCAGCAATCATTACACTCCCAGAGCTCTGATGGGAGAGACACTGCTCTTTCATACAGCAGCTGCTGTGCCTGCCCATCCTCTCTTCTGGCATTCTATGAATTAAGTTCAGTGAGGTGCATGCCACCTCATGGACTCATCTCTTTAATCTGCATTTGACAGTTTTATGGAGCTCCTGGAGCACAGCAATCCTTACACTCCCAGAGCTCTGATGGGAAAGACGCTGGTCTCGCATACAGCAGCCGCTGTGTCCGCCCCTCCTCTCTTCTGGCATGCTATGAGTTAAGTACAACAAGGTGCATTAAACCTCATGGACTCATCTCTTTAATCTGCATTTGACAGTTTTACGGAGCTCCTGGAGCACAGCAATCATTACACTCCCAGAGCTCTGATGGGAGAGACACTGGTCTTTCACACAGTAGCCACTGTGCCCGCCCCTCCTCTCTTCTGGCATGCTAGGAGGTAAGTTCAATGAGGTGCATGCCACCTCATTGACTCCTCTCTTTAATCTGCATTTGACAGTTTTGCGGAGCTCCTGGAGCACAGCAATCACTACACTCCCAGAGCTCTAATAGGAAAGACGCTGCTCTCTCATACAGCAGCTGCTGTGCCCGCCCTTCCTCTCTGCTGTCCATTCATAGAAGCCTTTGTATTTTGTTAATAAGTTCACATAATACAAAGTGCTCTGTAATAGGGCAGGAGGAGCGGAGGTGCAGGAACAGTTCATGCATTCGCCAGTATCTGAGCCTAGAAGGTCCAGAAGCCTAGCGATCAATGTGTTGCTGGCGCTCAGTAAAAAGAAATAAATTGTAATTAAAGTCCATGAGGTAGCATGCACCTCGCTGGAATTAACATTGTTTAAAGTGGCTGAATTCCTGGAGTTCAGCTTTAAGATCACATCAAATTCCACATGAAAAAAAAAAAAATAGTGTTTACAACAGTGTGGATAAACCATCCTAGTTTAATATCCCAAATACCACTGACCAGCTAACACTCTGTATATGAAACCATTCATTTTACATAAATGTAATAATACAGATATGTTTTTTGCATCATAATACCTGGTCTTCAGTGGAATGGGGCCAACCGATACATTTTGGAGCTATAATTGCCACTTCTTAAGGAATATGTTGAAGATGGATCTATGATGACTCAAAAAACAGAGAATAAGATGCCACGTACATGTAAAAGAATAGAGAAAGAATTTCCAGAGATACAAATATGTCTGTTGATAAAATATGCATTCAAGTTTGAAGGCATACAATGCTCTCTCTCAATTTTTGTATAAATAAAACCTTGAATTGTATGTACTTTTTGTGGTAAGTGGTACCTCCGAAGTCTGAGCACAGTAAAATGCAAAGTAAAGTCTGCTTATTCGATCCAGGCACCTTCTCTTTGAAGCATGATGATAGTACTTGTGGGATGTACTGGTAAAGGAAAAAGTTAGACTACATCTGGTTTTCTCAAACATGGAAGCCCTAGGCCATGGAAGCTTAGGGTTCCTCCAGAGGTTGCTAGGGGTTCCATGAGCCAAAGTCATCGGTCCGCACCTTCGGCGTCCCCGTCCGTGGAACGCGCTACCTATATGTTAATAGAAGTCAGCGTGAGATGGCACCCTTGTGCTATAAACATGCTATATCCGGGTTTCTCAAACAGAGTTCCATGAAAGCATAGGGGTCCTCCAGAGTTTGCTAGGGGTTCCATGAGCCAAAGTTCTCTTTCTGCACCGCCGGCATTGCTGCCCGTGGAACGTGCTGCCTAGATATTAACAGAAATCAGGGTGAGATTGCACCCTTGCTATATCATGGCTTCTCAAACAGAGTTCCATGGAAGCCTAGTGTTCCTCCAGAGGTTGCTAGGGGTTCCATGAGCCAAAGTCATCTTTCTGCACCGTCAGCATCCCTGTCCGTGGAATGCACTGCCTAGATGTTAATATAAGTCAGGGTGAGATGGCACCCTTGTGCTATAAACATGCTATATCAGGGTTTGTCAAACAGATTTCCGTGGCAGGCTAGAGTTCCTCCAGAGGTTGCTAGGGGTTCCATGAGCAATCTTTGCCTCTCAGATAAGTTCCCACTGACACCATTAATATTTTTTAGCTTTCTAAAAGCGGGTAATTCTTTCCAATGGCCATAAGTGAGAGGAGCATTCTTCCCACTGATCATTGCACTAATGTATCATGCGTTGTAGATATAGCAATTATTAACAGGGGTTCCCTTGGACTGGAATTATATCAAGGGTTCCTCCATGTTGAAAAGGTTGAGAAAGGTTGGACTATATACTTATGTAATTCTGGTTTTCTGCATTGTGCAAGTGATATTGGTATCCTACCAGTGAGCTTTCTGGGAAATGATGAGTACCCAAGATCTCCGAGAAGACACTCCTGTTCACTGTAGGAGTTTCTTCTTACAAGATTTTGGATCTTCTCGTTCCCAGGAATGTGAGGTCACCGTCACTCTATTGTTGGTATCACCAGCACATGGTATGTTCAGTCAGAGCCTTTTAATTGATGTATATAAGCAATGTTTTGGAGCCTAAACATTACCTTGTTCCTCAGACAACAGTGAAACGTCCATCCTGGACTGGTAAAGGATCTAATGTTTGGGCTCCCAAATGTTGCTTATACGAGGGCTGTACCGAACGTAATGCAAAAGCGCCATAGGTTTTTTATTAACTTACATAGGTGGTTCGAATTTCACATGTTGCTAGAGTAAAGCTTGGTACACAAGATGAGAATATCAAATGAATTATCTTCCTTTTTTTCTTTTTGCATGCTAGTTTCATATCGAAAATGAAGAGGTTACTAAAGTTCTGAAAATTTTCGTACGACAGAATATCACTTCGGAAGTGAAGTGTTGTATTGTATGGTAATCTTTCGTTTCTGAGCAGGCATGGTCTTGCTCTTCTGATTTTTTTCGGAAGAAAATTGTACGATCCGGTATCGTATGAAAAACATTTTCACGTTTGTTTCTTCAAATAATTTTGGACAAAAGCTGTGTGCTAAGATTATTGTATGATGGCTTCAAAAGCGGTATTTTCCTCCCAATTTTCTGATCGTATGTACTAGGCCTAACTCTTCATTGCAGGTAAATGATGGATTCCAAGCAGAAGCAATGTGCTGTCCTTGAGTTCTTGATGAAGGAGGGGTGCAGGATGTCTGACATCCACAGATGGCTACAGAATGTTTACAGAGATAACACCATTGACAAGAGCAATGTCCTCAGATGGATGAAGGAGTTTAAAGAAGAGGAAATTAACACTGAAGACAAACATCACAGTGGGAGTCCATCATGTTGGACAGCCTTCTTCATGTAGAACTCAATGATGGCACATTGCTTCTATTTGGAATCCATTATTTTTCAGCCATGAAAAAGAGTCACTATAGAGGAAGAAGTTACTCTACCAACATGTGAAATTAGCACAGCCTACGTGAGTTAATAAAAAAAAGTTATGCCCACTTTTGCTTTTGTTTCGATACAGCCCTCACACAAAACAAAAAACAAAATTGAGGCCCCACACCAGTTAATATTTTTTCCGTGTCCACACTCTGCCTAGGTATTCTTTGGTGTGCATTACCCACGAATGAGCTCAAGGTTCCTTCGACGCATTTCATTTGTGAGTGAAACGCGTCGGTGAGGCCTAGGCAGATGCCAAGGACACTGGAACAATAAAGTTTTTTACAAGCAGTGATAATTGTAGCAACCTATGTAAGTTAATGTTTAAAAGTTATGGCCGCTTTTGCTTTTGTTTCGGTACAGCCCTCACACATAAAAAAAAAAACAAAAATTGAGGCCCCACACCAGTTAATATTTTTTCAGTGTCCACATTTTCTGCTTGGGTATTCTTTGGTGTGTATTACCCACGAATGAGCTCAAGGTTCCTTCCTTCAACGCTTTTCATTTGAGTGAAATGTGTGGGTGAGGCCTAGGCAGATGCCAAGGACACTGGAACAATAAAGTTTTTACAAGCAGTGGCCACACAAAAAAACAAAACAAAATTGAGGCCCCACACCAGTTAATATTTTTTCCGTGTCCACACTCTGCCTAGGTATTCTTTGGTGTGTATTACCCACGAATGAGCTCAAGGTTCCTTCCTTCGACGCATTTCATTTGAGTGAAATGCGTCGGTGAGGCCTAGGCAGATGCCAAGGACACTGGAGCAATAAAGTTTTTTACAAGCAGTGGTTATTGTAGCAACCTATGTAAGTTAATGTTTAAAAGTTATGGCCACTTTTGCTTTTGTTTCGGTACAGCCCTCACACCAAAAAACAAAACAAAATTGAGGCCCCA